TGCCATAAAAATACAATTAAGTAATTTGCTTTAAAAAAAAGAAAAAAAACTATGAACAAGCATTCTGGTTTCCTCTCCCTCAACTAAGTTTCTCAGTGATAGCAGTTTGTAAATCAGTAACACAATAGACTGAAGACTGCTATTCAAATGATCTTCCACTTAAAAGTGCTGAGTTCTGGAACCTTCTTTCTGTAACTCTCTCTTCTATATCCTAACTTATGTTCAACTGAAACCACTGATTTAAAAACTATTAAATAGTGAATTCTGTCTGCTCTATTAGTTTAAATGAATGCAACTTACCTTTAGCATTATATTCAGAAAAATACCTAAGCCTCAGGGTCCCCAATAATTTGGAGTACTGAACCTAGATAACCACCCTAGACACTTCTGACAGAAGTAATGGATTACTTAAAGAGAGGTTTCCAAAACCTGCTGTTAGAACCTACGCAAACATAGAAAACACTGATAATCAGTCATTGTTCACACAGTTTTACTCTTCAGGCAGTCCTTTGCCATTGGTCAGCTTCTACTAGGCCAGAGTCCAGCAGGAAAGTGCACAGTGCACCAGATTCACCATCTCTTAAGTTGCTACTGTTTTCTCTTCTTTACTGAAAGGTTGTACTGAGCCAGGCTTTACCCATGACAAGCCAGCAACATGAACACTTTTATTGTGCTGTTCTTCAGGCTTCTAGGCACAATAAAAAACAAACATTAAAAAGAGATTTCAGCACTGTAAAAACGAATTTCTCAAAAAATTTTTTTGGTAGCAAGTGGTTTCTGATGACCGCATTTTACAAACGAAACAGTGAGTTAACTATTTTCAAAAATGGTTATGTACTTACTTTCTGAGTTAGCATCTTCTCTCTGGCTTCATCATGTACAGAAGGATTCCATGGAGAAAAGCTTAAAAGAAGGACAAATACTTAAAACCTATTTTTGGCTCACTAAATGTGTGTAACATCCATTTATTTTTCAATAACTAAGCCAAGTCCCCCAATAAAGCTTAACAAAGAACAATATTTTTAAAGAGTAATATTTTTATCATTATTTTTAAGAAATTTCCTATAGGCCATGTACATTCGCTGGGGAGAGAAAGAAAACACCCTCTGGGGTGGATGGCCACATCAAATTCCCTTCTCCTCCATTCTCTCAGGATTGTGGGTACATACACACATGTGCCCAGCATGTATTTCAAGCCACCAGGTCCAGAACTTGAATTGCGCCGTCAGCTATGTGGGATCCAGCCACCCTGACCACTATACTACCTGGCTGGCTTTTTTTTTTTTTAATTTATTTTTATTACCAGAGGGTGCATGTGCTTGCTAGAGAGCGAGAGAGAGGGAGAGAATGCATTCCCTCAGTGGGGTTTGGTAACCCTACAATCCCTTTTCCACTTCACTATCCCATCAGGATTTGGGGAGCATGAATGTACATGCACCAAACATGTTTAAGCTGCCAGGGCTTGAACCACAGTCAATCATGAGAGATCCCACTAATCTATAGGGATGGCCCTTAAGAAATCTTTAATTAGTTGTTAACATGTATGTCACAGATGTTAAATAAACAACTAAAACCATAATAACTATCCCTGCCAGAGGGATTCTATTAGCCTCATACCAACTTCTAAAGTACTATTATTTAAAGATGAAGAAAGTGAGGCACAGTAAAATTAAGTAATTGCTCTGAGTCACCAAAGCTTAAAAAGTACAAATACCAACCAGTCTGTCTGCTGAGTCCAAGTTTTTAACAACTCTTCTTCACTGCCTGCCCAGTAGTACCAACATCACCAAAAAGCTAAATTACCAAGTCTTAGTTCTCAACACTCTTCCCCACCATCAAGTGCCTCAGTGCTGTAGGACCCTATCACTCTCACATTATGCAGCTTTCCTCTTTTCATCAAAATGTGAGTGCTGATGGGGCTAGGACAGTTTAAGAGGGGTGCCAGCTAAAACCGACGGGTGAAAAGTCCTGACATGTGAACACATTACAAGGATCCTTAAGAAAAAGAAACCAAAGTTACTTAACAGCTTGCTACTAGAAAATGTGCCAGATGAGGTCAAGCTTCTTGTCTAAAGAAAGAGGCCCAGGGGCACTAGAAATCAAGTTGACGCCAAGTTATAAAGGTTGTATGCTAACAGATTATATATATTCCTTTTAAACCACCAGGAGGATGGTGAAGGACAATTCATCTAGACGATGTACACTTACCTAATTGCATAGGGGTCGTCTATTTTAGGTTGGTCAAACAAACGAGCAGTGCATACCTTAACACTGTCAACCACTTTACTTTTAAAAAGCTGAACATCTTTTTCATACCTGTGTTGAAAGTTCAAATAAAAAAGTTACCAATTTAATCTACTCAGCTGCATTTTCAAATTTATCTTAAATAACAAAGCAAAAGTAACATACAGTACTGCAGCTTCTGGGTTTAGGGGGCTTGCTGTATCAATCTTGTAGAAAACTCTTCTTGCATACATTAATACTTGCCAAATATGATTATGGTTCCTCCTAAAGAAAACACGACATGGTTACTGAGGCTTCCCCTGATGTCTCATGTCACTAGAAGAAACATTTATTTACTGACCTCCATTTTGCAAATGCTCTCTTCACATCCAATTCACCTGAAGTGGGATCAACTAATGGGTGAAAGACGGGAATATCAAACACCAAGCGCTGTATTTAAAGAGAAACATATCCTTAACAGAAGCAGTGGAACATTAGACCCACTTAGTTGTAAAAGGACCTTTGGGACAGTAAGGCAGTCATGTTGCTCAAAGTCAGAGAGTTGCCTCAAGAGAGATACTTAACTACTTTTACCAGTTTTCTGTAAAACTAAATTTTGCAATGAAGGGAGAAAAAGTTCATCTTTGCTACAACACAAAGATCACCATTCACATAGTAAGTGCTGTAATCCAGCTTCCAGCCTCACTTGTACACTTTGAGCAGAGCAGTAAGTAAAGCTAACGGCATGACAGAAGATCTAACATAGATAGCCCTAGCAGCTGCTTATAAGGCTACTGGGTAGATAAACATTTTGGAAAATGGAAATCATAGAAAGTATGAAGTCAGGAAGAGAACCAAGGGATCTTTAAAACTTTTAGCCCTCCTCACTAACCCACAAATGAAGCTGGACTCTCTCTCTCTTAACTTACTGGACAGTCACCATCTGGATAGTTATCAGGGATGTAAACTGTAAACTTAAATACGCCATCTTGATAAAGTCCATGCCGTATGAATATTACTCCAAACCACACTGTAGGAAAAGACAGAAACAGTTAAGGCCTACATTTGGGTCAGGGGAACCAAAGATGTTAAAATTAAGAGTGAATCCTTGTCTTACTTAATGCAGAATGGTAAGACGGTTGCACATAGACACCTGGTAACTTCTGTTTCACAACCAAGGTACTAAAAGAAAAGCAGCAGAATAATTAACTTGTATGGATACAATGACATATAGAGCACATCACCCCATATTCAACTTTTGAGACAAGGAATCATCCTTTAGAAGGCACCTGATGCCCAAACCGTACAAGCTGAGTCATCTCAATCTCTCATCTGACACAACTGAGAAAATCAGCCCTGGCTGCTGCCCATTTACTAGCATCATAACCAGAGTTCAGAGAAATGTGTAAGCAAATAAAGGGCCTCGAATTAAGAAACTGAAGCCAAGCAGGGATACAGAAACTTTTCCTCCCAGAAATCAGCTTCTCCAAAATACCTTGGAAACCATCCTCCAGGTACTTCTAATAGTGCACCCTGATGTAAGTTTTGGATATTAAATTTACAACAAATTTGAGTTAGCCATCCATATCCACGGGTCCTGCCTCCATGGATTCAAGTAATCAAAGATCAAAGATGTTCCATTGTTGCTGATGTGTACTGTAACTACATAGGTAGGCCTATGATGGTTGTGTTTGTACTAAATATGTACAATTTTTTTGTCATCATTCCTTAAACAATACAGTATAACAACTATTTATATATCATTCACATTGTATTAGGTGTTATAAGTAACCTAGAAGTGACTTAAAAGTGTTCAGGTGGATGTGCATAAATAATAAGCAAATACCCTCCATTTTGTATAAAGGACTTAAACACCCATAGATTTCAGTATTAGTGAGGGCTTACTATTAATAGAACCAAATCCCTCTGGATCCTAAGGGATGACTATGTTTGTAAAATTATTGTTTTTGTGATGGTACATAATAGATCTCAAACTCGTACTTAAAAACAGTTTTTAAGTACAATGTTAGATAATTAAGAACAAATTAAGATTCCATGAAATTGCTATCATAGAGTTGCCCTAAGTTTCAAGTACCAGATCCAGTGGCAAATTGCAGCATTTAGGGTTGCAGCACTGCTTAGTGAAGACAGGCTCAATGTGAGGCTCTCGAACTATTCTCTGCCCCCAAATCTATCCCCTAAAACTTGGATTCTAGAACTCTGTAGGCCTTGCTAGGGAGTGGGAAATGACTAGGGCTAAAAGCAAGGGAAGACGAATATACTGACACAAAGGCTTCACTGGAATTCTGAGACCCACTAACAGCCATTCTACTCTGTCCCTCAGAGCTCCAGCGTGAGCGTTAGTGAATAGGTAAGGCTACGACCAGACCTTGAAAAGAGCCGTGTTTGCCCAGGGCCTTATAAAACACACTGGCTCACCAATCCTGAATTTTACTAAGCAGCAGCTGATGTGGCCTTAGTTAATAGTTACCTATTTGCCCTCACACTTAGTTTTAATCATTTTTAAAAACTGTTAACCATTCCATCTTTAAGTCACTAAGGTTCAACATGTCAACAGTAGTATGACTGACGGATGCACCTACTACAGTAAAGTTTGCCAGAAAGGGCGATTTTGTGTTCTAACACAGACAGTGGATTTAATCACCACAATAAGAGACTGTCCAACTCACTGCCCAGCCTCAAACACAAGGCCCCCATTATAAAGCCAAGAGACCATTGCTACCAGATCACTCCCAGCTGATTACACTGGAGCCTCAGACCACTGACCCTGACAACATTAGTACACTGAGATGGGGCCAAGGATGCTTTCAAAATAACCTCATATACAAAGGAATTTTCAAATGATGGAAATCAAGAATTACTTCTCTAAACTTTGTCCTTTTAACAAATTTTCATGCCAGCTGCCATCTGTATTCCCATGCCATCTGGGCCCCCTACATGTGCCGGCACCATGCTATCGCTGCTAGCACTGTGTACAAGAGCTTGGAACCTTGGAGGCTACAGATAGGTGTGCCTTAAGTTTACTCACACAGGGCTCAAATCTTTACAGCTTTCCTACACAATTGCCAACTCCTGCCTTTGGACTTTGATCATACAGAATAACTCAAAGCCCTTCTAGTGACAGACCTTCCAATATATAAAGGCAGCTTTAATAAGTATTTCTTAAGTTTTCTCTTCTCTAAGCTAGGGGTTCCAGTTATTTTAACTGTTGATCTCTGAGGCCTAGCTTCTCGACTCTCCCTATTGGGACCATCCCCTCAGCCTGTCAGGGTGCCTCCTACAGGACAATAATCGCAATGGAGTAAAATCCTCTGGATAGGTCTGACCTAAGAAAACAGACTGGCAACTGCCTTCTGTCCAACCCACTATCCTCTTCAGGAGATGAAATCCTCACCTCTTCAAGACCAAATTTGAGTTATTAAGTTCCTGGTCTATTTTAGGCTCTTAAAAGACCTTAGTTTCTTCTTCTTCTTCTCCAAAACAGACATGGAAATTAAAGCACACACCTGCCTTTAAGTCTTACCTAAGGTCTAACTATGAGTCATAATATTTAAGAGAGGGTATCTGTAAAATATTTAGATCTTGGTTAAGGAAGATGTTATCACCAGCAACGGCCTGCCAAGTTTTACCTGTATCCATCAAGGCTGATATTGGAGGGGACAGAGACTGCGCTTTAAGATTAAATGACTGCCTTTACTGACTCAATTAGAATAAATTTAACTCTTTACCCTCAAGGATTATTTATAATTTAACCAAGTAGTTTAAGAACTTACAATTCTGCAAGAAGAGAGTATTCCAAGTAGAAAGGTCCATAAGAAGCGTGTGTGCCGTTTGTTGACTGTGCTGCTGGGGCAGGAGATGTGGGTTTAGTTATGGGCAAAGCATTTTTGGGAATAGAAGGCAGCTGTTTCTTTGGCACAGTTCGTGGAGGACTGGTTTTCACGTCCCCTGTTAATGTCTTCTCTTCACCATCAGATCGCTATTCAAAAAGGTGAAGTTACAAGAATGTCAGGATAACTCTTAAATCATAGGAGTACAGAGCTGACCTAAAAGCTGGAATTAACTCTTTTACAAGGACACGCTAACACCATGATCAAGATGACCCGAAAGCCCTTTGGGCAGGCAGGTTACATAAGGAGCAGACAAAGCTTAAAGCAAGACTAGAGCATTAGGAATACTCAGACTAGCTGCATCCTTTAAGGACATTACAGTCAATGTTCACGGGATTAACTGAAATAGAGAAAGAAATGGTTTGTCCTGGGCAAGGGCTTACTAAGCAATTAGACAACTGCACAAGAAAAGAAAGGTCTCCCTGTACTTGGATTTTGTAGAAGGTCTGGTGCCAAGAAACTCAAAATCCATAGTGTAGAAATGAGCTGCTACATCATGTTATTAGCACTTGGTTTAGAAACAAATAATGAAGCTGTTCTCTCACTTGAGCTTGGATCTGAATTTGATCTTGTCTCCTAGTGGCTATATGCTTCCACACCTGTAATATCAGCAGCATAAACTCATCTTTAGTCAAAAGATAGATGTTGAAATAAGTCAATGCCTAAACTACTACCTCAAAGGTACTACCTTAGCTCAGACACAAACAAAGGCTGCCTAATGAGCTGTATAAAAGTGTGTATGATGGGCTAGAAGGTGGCATGGTGGTAAGGCATTGGTTCGAGTCCTAGACCTGGTGGATTGCTTTCTCACTCTCTCTCTCTCTGGTGAATACACATGCCCTATAGCAAATTAAAATAATAATAAACAAAATTAAATAATTCTTTAAAAATTGTACATTGTGCATAGGAGAGAAAATAAACAGTGGAATTCTCTTGGAAGTGAAATTATGGGGGTTAGTTTCATTTTCTAAGTGTTTGCATATTTTAAGCATTCCTAAAATGGAAATTTATTGTTCAAAATATTATTTTTTAGTTAGAAAAATTAAAATCATTATCCCTCAAGTCTGACTTCAGCATATTGACTGGCCTTTCTAAAAGCTTCTTTAGCCACAGAATCGAAATTTAATAGAAAAACTATACAATTTTGTGTCATAAGTTCTACCACATATAAATACAATCTAAATGAAGGTGATTTTAGAATTGTGACTTTTTTACTAGAGATGCAGTCTGTCTCTGAATCTGACCTTAACTGAGAAAACATTTATTTCTCAAAAGGAAAACCTAAACTGGGAAAACCAGGTAATTCTGTTACGATTACACATGACCTTGGTATGAGTTATTTAAGATTATTCTGATCCTATTTTCGGATAAGGAAAGTGAGTGGACACCCTCATTACATTGATCCTCTGTACCTACTTTGCGTACAGAACTTGTAGACATGCTCCAGAAAGGGTTCATAACGTGTACTCCAAACAGAGAAGTTCAGTGGTCAGTGTCATCAAACTCTTCCGTCCTCAGCATTCACTTTGCCTTAAAGCAGATGAGAACATATGGGAACATAAAATCCACAGATAAGACTTCTGAAACGGTTAAGAACTAAATCTGATACCCTAGAGATACAATGATGTCATAGAATACGTTTTTAAAAACTTAGGAAAATGTCTTCGGGCAGCTTCAGAAATAAATTTTCTTCTTTCCAGCCTTCAATTTCTTCACACCTCCCTGGCCAGGATTCAGGATATTCAGTGGCACCATTTGGTTCTGGTGCCAGCAATGAAAATAAAGACTGTTAACAGTGCTTACTAGCCTAATATCTAGGTATTTAACTGCTGGGAAAGCCAGACCCAGAATGCACCGTACCCACAATGCACTGAAGTTGCATCACTGTTTCCAGAGTGTGGGGACAAATGATAAAGAGCCAATGCAGCTGACTTATGAGTATCTTAAGTGAGTTGTCTCTAGTACAGCATGATTCCTTTCTGCAAAACTAAACCCAAGAAACAAGGAAAAAAAAAACAAAACAAAAAAACAGGGAAGGTAGAACATGCTGATGTGGGTAAAGAAACAGCAGGATACTCAATTCTGCCAGGACCATCCCCAAGAAACTACCTTTTTTTCTTTTTTTTGGAGAGGCTTTTGCTATAGGGCTCGTGTGCTCGCCTGAAAGACAGAGAGAGAGAAATCACCCCCCTGAGGGGATGGCCACGCCACAACGTATTCTCCTCTTGGGATCTTCTTGGGCAGGCACACGCACCCAGTGTGAGTTTAAGACACCACGTCCAGGACTCGAACCATGGTCAACTACATGGGAGTTCAGTGACACAGCCATTACGCCAACTGCTGGTCCCAGAAACTACCTTTTTAAAAAAAAGAATTATTCAACTTTATTTATCCATCCATCCATTCATTCATTCATCTATTTAATTTGACCAGAGAGGGACAGAGTGAGAGAGAGAAAGTGAGAAAGCAAGCTGTCAGGTCCAGGACTTGAACTGTGGTCAGCCATGTGGGAGTCCAGCACCCTCACCACCATGCCATCTGCCAGCCCCAAAACTGCGTTTTTCAACCGCTAAAAATTTGGAAACTCAATAGCATTAGGCATTTATAAAACTGTAAGCACTACATACAGATGTCACAGAGGAGTACAAGAGACAGTTTACAAACATGAAATCTCTGTCCTATGCTTCAGTCAGTAGATAACAAAGCATGTCTCAGAGGTCACAAAGTCAGTGGGTCATTTACTAAAAATACAGAGGAGCCAAAGAAAAGTAGCCAAGCCAGGCTACAAGAACAGCCACTGCTGGCCCTGGTGATTCCCCCAGGTTCTGTCATGCTTAAAGCGCAGCCTCCTTCCCTGAATTGCTACTTGAACCCATCAGAAGGCTAAAAGTGAAAAGGGTCAAAGCTTAGGAACATTTTTCTATTCTTAAGAAGCAAATCGTTAGTAAACCAGATACCAAATGTTCCCAATCGGCAACAATTCTCTGGTGAGCAGACGACACCCACGGGTGGGTACTAGGTCTTTCACATCCTGTCCGAGTCTATTACTGCTGTTTTGCTTTCCAAGAGATAATGCCACCCAGTAATTAAGTCAGGAATGAGGATCCCGTTCTCCCACTATTGCGCTGACTTACATCCCATAAGTATAACAGCAACAACTCTCTGCAGATCTACCTTTAAAGATGACAAATGACACATGAAGAGAGTTGGGGCTTTAAAAATATGTGGGGGCATCTTCCTGTTTGACCCAAATAAAAACAACATGGATTTCGGAACTAGCAGTCATGTGTGGCACCCACTATCCTCTAAAACAGACTCAGATTAACAAGGGACCTCCCACTCCTTGGGACACAGTGGTGCTCCAGGAGGTGTAAGTTTTTACTAGGGTGGGAGGAATTACCTGTAAAGTCCCTTCCACGACTAATACATTATGATTCTATGACTTAGCCTTTAAGAAGCCAATAAAACCTGCCCCCAGCTCTTTAAACAAGAGGTAAGAGGTATGGTCTACCTCTGCCTGATTTCGTGATTGAGAGTTTTAGTTCAATGTTCCTAGCAGCAACTATAGGAAAAACCTGGAGCACACTTTCAGGAATTAATTGCACTTATCAGGTGTCCAGTCTACCACATTGGCATGTCCCAACAGGGATGACAGATGGAAGGAAGGCACAGGCTACATCCTTGCCAGGAAACAACTTTAGTTCTGCTGGTTGGGCCCGGAGAAGAACATGACTGGCTTCCATTATATCGCACAGCTAGTAAATCCCAATCTTGGGCCTGTGCGAATAATCCCTGGAGAGGAACTAGACACGGGTGCTGCTGCTGCTCTGTGCCACACATGTGCTTCCATGTGTGCCACATCACCCCGAAACAGGTTTCAGAAATTCTACTTTAGAAGGCGACAGGGTAGAGCCAAGAGAAAAAACAAAAACGACCCCAGCCCGGGCTAGGCTCGCTGGGGACCGCCAGGTCGGGCACCATCGGGCACCATCGCCGGGAGCGGAAACCCATACCCAAGCACGCAGAGAATCTGGACAAACCTGTCTCAAGGTGATGCAAGGCAGGAGCCATGTCCCGGGCTCGCTGTTAGCTGCAGGCCGGGCCGGGGCCTCAACTCCCTCTAGATGCGGGGGAAGGTGGGTGGAGGGGTCGGGGGATGGATGAAAGCCTCCCAAGCTCAGCGACGCTCCCACCTCAACAAGGGCTCGGGACCAGGGACCACGGACCAGGGACCAAGGACCCGGGCGGGGAGGGCGGGTCCCGGACAGGCAGAGCTGGCCAGGCCTGTCTCGCTAACTCAGACTGGCCTGGTCCTGCTCGTGCCACAGCCCCCAGGCATGGTGGGGGGCTGCGCCAGATTGATTTAATTAGATGATTCCTGTACTAGGGTTTCTGATCTTGAGTAAAAAATTTGGGAAGTTTGAAAGTTCTGGGAAGGCTTTCTGTAAGAGCTGGCATATATTAATGTTAATTGTGACCATTTGTTGAACACCTACCATATACTAGTCAGTCTGCTACACACGTTTCAGAGATGCCATTTCTAGTTTGCCAACCTTATACCCACCATCCTTTAGGGTACAGTACCTAATGCAAGACCAGTCCCATAAGCTGTGAATTATATGGCCCAGCTTCAGAACATGAGGTGGGCCAATCATATTGCTCTTTTGGGAATGAGAAATAAGAAATCCAGAGGGGAGTTGCCACTTAGTTGTGGGGACCTGAGCTTATAGGTCCAGCAGTCCAGGTTCTGGGGGTGAAATATGAATCAGGTCATGTGCCTGTTGAAATTTTGGGAAAACAGGTAAAGGTAGTTGGCTGAGTGAGGAGCATGGGGCAGATGTACAGGGAGAAGTCAAGTATACATTTGGATTTTTTTTTTCAGGATATCTTAAATTTGTGATCCTTTCTTTACAGGTTACCTAGACCACTTTCGATGAATAAAACAGAAAGTTAGTTACTGCCACAAGGAAACACCAGGCTGTGGCACGTGTCAATTTTCCAGAGTCCTGCTTTGCAGGGTGTCTGAATGCGCTGCTTGAAGCCTCTGCTCACACTTGCTGGAATCCATCGTGGCATATTTTAGTCCACAGGTCGCTTTTCCCCATATTTCTTTGTAAACTTTTCAGCATTATTACAGAATTTTTTACATTTCTTAGGGTATTTTTCATCTAGGTCAGCCCGGAGAGGGTGCTAAGGCTGGGTGCTGTTCACCAATCCTATGAAGAACTGTATTACTTGGTTGGTTTTGGTAGCTGCTCCCAGTTTTTAGCACTAATTACTGCCAGACAGACATGTCCCTTTTCAATGATCTGGTGATAGATCTTTGTTTTAAATGTGATCTTTGGTGGTTTGAATGGGTACTCTGCTGGAAAGTTTTGATTCTGAAGGCTCCTTTGTCATATGGAGGGTTGTCAGGAACAAAACGTCTTTACCAAATCAATAAATTAGCTTCATCAACCTGGATGGTATGAAAGTTTTTCATTCCACATTTGTGAATTTCTTCAAGTTCCTTCATCGACCTCCTGCTGGCCACCATCTTGGAACAGGTGCTGCTCCTGCCCTTGGATTTCTTTTTTTCCCCTTTTTTGTTTCCATTTTTAAATTTTATTTTATAGTTTTTTTTAAGTTTTAATTAATTAATTAATTAATTTACAGTCATTCTGTCTATATCAATACAGTATAACAATGAGATTTTCCATCCCGTTTACATTGTATATTGGCTCAGTCAAAGATATTATTATATATGTTATCATCAACAAATAATTTTCTATTTCTTGTTTCTATTTCTGTCTCATTTCTTTTATATTTTATTGATTCACTAAAGTACAGCTGATATATGCATATTTATGAATGCATGTCTGACTTTAGGCATAAACCTCAGTGAGTAAAGTGAACATACTGTAAAGTAGCACCTCACTGGGGTTATATAGTTTACTGAAGTCATTAAGTAGGTACTAATAGTTTTTTTTAACACATTTTTTAATTTCAAAAAAGCTTTAGTTTTACTAGATCAGAATAAAAAAATGTTAAGAGAAATTTGCTGAAAACTTAAAGCCAGGATAAAGGTTAGGATTCAGTTCAAATAGTAGGTAAGTGATCCTATCAACAGCTCAAGAGAAGACAAAAATCCTTAAATATGGAAATCAAAGTATCAAAGAAAATCAGTGATGTTTTAGCCTAAAGTTAAAAAAAAATCTATTTCACTAGTTCAGACTCACATGATTAATCTCGGTTCTATTGAATTTGCAGTGTTACTTTGGTCTGATCTTTCCATTTAAACTCGGGAATTTAACATTCAACTCTGTACTTACCCCTAAAATCAGGCTGGCCATTCTCTTGGTTGTTTCTTGTATTCTTATTTCTGTATGTCTGACTTCAGTTTTCCTGGTATAGCACTCCCATCAGCACTTCTTGGAGAGCGGGTCTGGTGTTGGTAAATTCTTTCAGGTTTTGTTTATCTGAGAATGTTTTTGTCTTTTTTTTTTCCCATATGAAAGATAATCTTGCTGGGTCTAGTATTCTTGGTTGAAATTGTTTTTCAGTCAACACTTTGAATATATTTCCCCACTTTTTCGTTGCTTATATTGTTTCTGATGAGAGGTCCAATGTTACCTTTATGGTATATCCTTTGAAAGTAACTTGACTTTTCTCTCTTGCCAATTTTAGTATCTTTTTAAAAAATAATTATTTATTGTATTTTATTTATTCCTTCACTTATTTTTTAATTTGACCAGAGAGAGACAGAGGGTGAGAGTGAGAGCGATAGGAAGTGAGAAAGCAAGCCACCAGGTTCAGAACTCGAACCCTGGTCAGCCATGTGGGAGTGTCCAGTGCCTTAACCACCATGCCACCTGCTGGTCCCCTCCAATTTTAGTATCTTGTCTCCTTCTGTGGTCTTGGTCAGTCAGACTATGATGTGCCTCGAGGAAGACCTTGGGTTGATTTTATATGTGGTCTTGGTATTTCTTGGGTCTGGGTATTTGAGTGCCTCTCTAGGTTTGGAAAGTTTTCTTCCAGGACTTCATGGAATAGATTATCA